TAGGTAAATAAAATATTTACATTAAATTATTTCAAAGGTAGTTCGACACAAACGTATCTGACTATTCTCTATTCAGGTTAAGTTTCCATGAATAAGGTTATAAATATTTGATAACTGATTAGGTATTAGGAAAAACTATTATTACAAAACTAACAGTAAATAATAGAATAATTATGTATGTTTGTACTAATTACTTCTTAAAAATACTTACAGATGTTCGTCCAGCGGAAATCTAAAAAAATGAATGTCTTTGTTTTCCTTTTTACATGCCCGATAGGCATTTTTACACTTATGATAGGAACAGTTCATGTTTATTTCACAAATAAACGTTCCTAACACTCACTTTAAACTAAACACACGTAAATAAACAACAATAAACAAGAAAATCAAATCAAGTAAATAATAACGCACATTCACATTTGCAATTGCGGTGTTGCTGTGGAAAGTAACACGGAAAGATCTCCTATTCGACAATACACGAATAGTGATGCAAAGCGGCCGAAGATGACCGAAGTGTTCTTTTCTTACATGGATTTCGTCTTAGCATCCCGGGGTTTTAACTGGGATGCATCTCCTTCTTTGTCCTACAATGTATTTCCCTCTCTTTCACTGTCGCATATGGTTGTAATATGTGCTTTTACGTTTTTTTTTGGTAATACTCTTTCTCATTCAAATAAATATAAATATCATAGTCGGACCTAAAAGTTTCAGTCTATAAAGATCCTATCACAAACTGAAATTAAATAGCAAAAAAGACCTAATGAATTTTTTGGTTTATAGGAATTTGTAGTCGCACTGTTATATTCGAAAATTCCATAAAAATGCTTTTCCTTATAATTTTGTTTTTGATACATTTTGCAATTAATATCACTTTATGAGTATACTGAGCGCCTCACAGGAAGTGCACAAATTTTAAAGAGGTGAAAAATTTCTCAGCACAAAAGTGTAAACAGTGTTCCAGGACTTATAAAAAAATTCAAAAATTGAGTAATGAGTTAAAACAATGTCAGTACTTCATATAAACTTTTGTCATACGAACACTCTTTATGAGATTTCAAATGTTACAATTTTATTGGTAGCATATTGCAACACCCAGTCTGTTCATAATATAAAGAATTATTATTTTTTTCGTCATCGATTCTACTGATGTATTTTTCTGGAGAACTCTTTGTTATATTTATTATCTCATGTCTTGTTATTTTGTGATAGAGAATGAAAATTAAACTCTAAACAAAAAAAACATCCATTAGTACCTAATTCATGTTTATGCCTTTGCAAAATGCGTATATTACAGAGCGTTATTTGCTCTTAAGGATGAGGAGCAAGTCTAAAAATGCCTCTATAATGTACAAACTAAATCTATACAGAGTAGTGGAAAATGAACCCACTGTACAAATATAACCTCTACTCAAAGTATACCCTGTGTATATACAGTATGTCCACGGTTAGAGTGGAAAAGGAGGAAAATATTTATACGTTTCATTTTAAAACAAACTGCCTTTTCAATCAATTGGCATGAAGAAACTGTCACTATTACTCAGAAGTCATTTTTTTATTCCGCATTTTAAGGACAAGCAAGAATTTTAAATAAGAATGTTTTTTTCTCGTAAAATGACAATAAAAATGTTTTACTGTGCGTTTCTGTTAAAGTAGGCCAATTCATACACAAATTGAAATTATAATATAAATTTCAATTCCAAGCAACGTTTCTTAACAACATATTTCTGTACTCTTAAAAACAAAGGCAGTTTACTCCTGAACGATTTTTATATTTGTTTTGTTAACTTTATGCATATGTATAATATATATTTTTAAATATTATGTATCTCTTTGTATCAATAATTCTACCTGTACTATTTAATTTTACCTGTTGCGTAGGTACTTTTTTAAAAAATAAATAAAATACCCAAAAATGTATATTCATTTTACTTGTTTTTACTATATAATAAAAATTACACTAATACATCTATGACAACTTTATATCATGTCTCGACAAATGCTTGTTAAAGCTGGTTGTCCACTTTGTACGGAAATCGCACAAAATGCATTTATACACTTTCACTTCTGACAACTCCTTGTGTTTTACCACATGCATCTTGATGCGCCATTTGTGTATTGTTTTATAGTCGCACATCTCGCATTGGTATTGCTTTTTATGCGCCAACAGATGCCTAAGCAGGACACCATGTGACTTTGATCGAAAAGAACACTTACTGCATTTGTACAGATCCGAATCAGATACACTAAGGTGTCTCAAATTGTGTTGCTTTAAATACTCGGTGTGTCGTGATCTATAGGTGCATTTATCGCAAAAGTACCAGTTCGTGTTCGAGGAACTGTCATGGGACGACATGTGTAGCGTAAGCCTGTGGAAGTACTTTGTTAGATAATCGCAAATATTACATTTGAACATGTTCGAATTGAATGGATCTTTATGTGTGGCAGTAATATGCTCTCGGAGATTAATTTCGTTTTCGTATTTAAAATCGCAAGCCCCACATTTCTGTTTTTTGTTTTCCACATTGCTTTTCTGCTCTGTTACAGCGTCAAGGGCTTCAAATTGGTGGTGCAACACATCTGTGTGACTTTTATGCTGTGCTTTGTGCATTACAAGTTTATGTAAATACTCGGTAATATAACTGCAGAGATCACATTTGAATAAGTTCGAGTTGGACGGGTCCTTATGAGTCGCAGTTATGTGCTCTCTAAGGTCAAATTTATCTTTACAAGCAGAATGGCATAGGCAACATTTCCAGGGATTTTGTGAAGAATTAGACCTCAAAGTATTAATTTGAACTTTAGAAATAATTTCTGTTAATAATGTGTGGTTTTTCACTTCTTCATCTTCATGAGATTCGCTTAATTCTTTCAGATGTTCCAAACTGAAAAATGTTTTGCTTAAGATTACATCAATTTTTATTTAAATTAATATCAAAGTTAAAGCATTGAGAGAAGCCTATAAAAATATAGGTTACCAATTTACTCTTACCTTTCTTGTTCATTTTCTTCGATTTTGATTTCAATATTCTCATTTCTCACTGTCCCATTTTCCTCCTGTTCATAAGTTTCAAATTTTACATCAATTTCTGCTTTAATCAACTCTGTCAGTTCTTCTCGTTCGTCTTTCTCAGATTTTATTTCAATTTGAACTTCCTCAATTTTATTATCTGAATCAAATGGTGCTATAAATTGCCAGTCCATAATTTTGCTTTCAACTTCTTTATTCAAAGAACTTTGAAATCTGGTGACTTATTTAAAAAAAATTGGCATTTCACTATCAGGCAGTCAGCAACTTTTTTTCTGTTTATGTTAATGAATAACAGATTTTCGCACTACTCTTAATCCTCACGATTACGATTTTTAAAATACAAAGTTTTAATTACTGAGTCTTATACCAGGTGTTCAGAAAGGCTGGGGGATATTTGTATCTGTGCTGTCCATGTAACGGAGTGGTTGGAAAGGGAGCGTAAGGATGGGCTGTTGCTCTGCTCTTTGGAGATTTAGGAACCATGGAAGAGTACCCGGGAGACCACCGCGCTATTATCGCAATGGTGATTTGATCAACGTTTATATAGTGCAGAATTTAATGTACGGACTGCACCGAAGGACAATACCATGGATTCGAATGTTTGAGAATACCGGTTCGAGTGTAAAAATTCACAATCAAGGTCGCCCCGCTCTGTTCAAACCCAACACACGACTGAAGATGTGAGAGTTTCAGTGCGTCAAAATCCGTCTGTATCAGTTTGCAAACGCAATCAAAGACTTAATATTAAAAAATCGTCGTTGCACAAGATTCTGCAGCAAGATTTACATCTTAGAGCCTACAAAATTCAGCTCGTTCAAGAATTGGACCTTATTTTTTTTAAGATAGGTGAGGGCGAGCTCTTACGGTAAACAGTGAACGGTATTGTGACATGTTGAGGAACTTTTTGGCTCCACAACTGCAGGAGTTTGAAGGTTTTAATGTGGAAACATGGTTTCAACAATATGGGGCCACTTGCCACACATCCAACCAATAGCTTACGGTTGTCAATGAACCGGAAAAGTGATCTTTCGTCGAGGCACCATCAACTGGCCTCCGAGAAACCCCCGATCTTACACCCCTTAATTATTTCTTGTAGGGATACCTTATACAGAAAGTGTATACAAACAAACCACGAACTCTACTGCAATTGAAGCACAACATCCGCACCGAAATGGCTGCCGTTTCCAGAGAGATGTGTACACGTGCGGCGTCTAATTTCCGGTTTAGGTTAAAGGAGTGCCAGCAGCGCGAGGGTCAACAAAACTTTCTCTATAAATTAAACCAGACAGACGGGTGAAGGCGGCCTTGGGTGAGTTGGCTCAGGAAAACTGGGCCAAGCACTTGGATTAGTTGGTCCCACAAGACAACAGCTTCTAGAAAACGCAGATGGCCCTGCGACTGCCCGTACAACGCAGAATTCCCCCATTCCATGGCAGCAGGGGGGTGGTATACACGAACAAGGAAAAGGCCGAGGCTTTCGCCGACAGCCTGGAACTGCAATGTAGACTGCCCCAGCTACCCGACGAGGATGAGGAATTGGCGGTCCGACGTGTTGACAGAGCTAGACAATGACACGCGGCAAAAGCCATTTAAAGTCAATTCAGGCTGTGGAGAACGTAGCTCTACGCACGGCCACCGCCTCGCCCTGGTTCGTAAGAAACACAGACATTCTACGCGACTTACAATACAGGAACGCTATCCAGACAACACGAATAAACGCCAAAAAGCGCTTTGACATGGCCGCGAGACACGATAACCCCCTCCTCAGGAAAGCTGTTGACTACATACCCCCCTAACCCTTTTAAGTTACAGGAACAGCCAGGTCCAAGAATGCAAGAAGAGACAAATGACAAAAACCTGTCCCCACGAGTAAATCCACGCTAGCCTAACGTTCCCCGCACCAGTCCACCGAGTCATTTGGCTTAATTTTTTTTGAAATTTAGGGCCCCACTTTGGGGGCCAATAACTCTTCAAGGATGCAACTTTGTATATAGGTAAGTTTGGTTAAATTAAAATATTTTGGACACCCATAGATGCACCTGCCCTGTGTCGGTTTTTATGTGGGACTCCCTGTATATACCGGGTGGGGCATTTATCTTGATACAAAATAATATCTCGGTTGGACTCGGATTATTTTGAAAAAAGTTTCAGACAAAAATTGAGGGGCACTGAGGGGGGCCATTGAAAGGTCCATATTACGACTTCCAGTCTAGACCGGAAGTGGTGTTTTTAGACCAGAAGTTGATTTTTTTAATGGAAACACCCATTTTTTACCATGGATTTCGATTGTAAAACAAAAAAAAAAATATTTTTCTTATTATTTCTTTGCTGATTTAACCCATATTTTAGACATAAATGGCCATAAAAAACAATAATCTTGAGACAACAGAGTATCTTGTTGGGATCACTTTTTTTTTAAATGTAAAAGGTCCACTTCCGGTCTAGACCTTTCAATGGCCTTCTTTCTGCAGCTTTTTTCAAAATAATCGAGTCCAACCGAAACATTATTTTGTCTCAAGATAAATGCCCCACCCGGTATATGTTTCTCATAATATCAAAAAATTAAAACCTATAAATCTTCTGTATATTAAGATTGAATAGAGTTTGAGGATTTATTTGTACTATTCAAAAACTTAAAGAAAGGTTACAAACATCTATATCAGCTTTTTATCAATGTATAGTTTGTACCTTGCATTCCTAATCAAAATTGGCCACCTAGTATATGTGCAGGCATGCTTATTTCAACAAATAGAATGAAATTTTGACAAAATAAAGTTCTTTTTTCTTCTCAAATATTGTTTTTCAAGACGTAAGTAATGATAATAAGGTCCCATATCTGTATTTGGGTTATTATACACATTTAAGTTAAACTAATTATTACCATCAAATCTGTAAAATAATCAAAACGTGAGATCTATAATAGACCTGAATTTTTTATGCACAATTAAAAATCTAATATAAATAATGTTGCCTATTTAAATTTTATACAGAGCGTTATCACTTGTAGCACATTATCGATAATAAACAATTTTTTCAGACATTGGTTGTTTTAAACCTTAAATTTATGATTTATATTAGCCTATTGTACTGGTGACCTATTTTGAATATGATTGAAAAATAAGTGCTAGAAGGAAAAAAAATAATATAATAATTTTTTCTCATTATGAAATTACATGGTATTAAACAATATATGTACTGGAAAATAGTTGAAAATCAATGAAACTGTTCTGAAATAATAANAAGGGTTTTTTGGCGAGCCAAACCACATCAAACCCGGTTAGCTCGAGTTTGATTGTGTTAAGAGTTTGAGTTAACATTTGACAGAACTCGCAAAAATTCTTTTGGTTTGGATATCTAATCAATAATAAAATCGTAACCTATAATCTATGATAGTGCTCGTAGCTCAAGTTGTTTGATTATTTCTTATATACTATAATTGTTATTCCTAATCTGAAATGCACATCCATGAAATAACGTTAATGTATAGATGGTTATTAAATCAAAATGGGTTTACCTTTTCACAAATATCTATTCCCACGTAAATGTATCGTCAAAAAGGAAGTTAATAAAGATCTATACAGTACAATATAGAATATGCATATCTACGATTAAAGTTATTTGGATCCTCGATTACTATTTTTTTATTATCAATTTTAAATATTTACTTTGTATTTTTTGCAAAGTTAATCCATTATCAATTTTTTTTATTTACAACTTATACCTATCCAAACCTCTAAAAAAACGAAGTAGTGACTAGGTACGATGGTACGAAACAGAAAATAAATAAACAAAGATAGAAATATTAACTTAATATCCAAACCAACCCACAAGTCCGGTTTGATGGTTAGGCAAACTCTGCCAAACCGGGTTAACTACATTTCTCGCCAAAACGTCAAACCTCAACAAACTATAGTTAACCGGGTTAGCGGTTTTCTCGCCAAAAAACCCTTATAGATATTAAATCATTAATAAAATAAACTGAGTAAAAATAGTTCTAACTAAATTAGGAATATATTTATCTTATATATACCTATAACAATAGGTACCTATAACTCATCCCATGACTTGTGCAATAAAATATTACCACAAAGAACTTATGTAGTAATTTTGTAGTAGTTGTACTTAGTTTTAGTTAGTATATTACTCTGTAAACAATATTTTAAGTTGTATAGATGTAAAATAAGGTGTCCTTATTTTCTATGTTATTGAAATATGTAAGTATCTGGAAGGACATGCAGGAATATGTAGATAAACCAAGTATTAAATAAGTACTTACCTAGTAAATTGTATTTACGGAATAAACGTTTCTAAAAAAACGAATTGAATTAACAAATTGCAAATTTATCTACGCGTGCAACACTATATATGTAAATAAGATGCAGAAAGAGTGGTGTGGGCTGATCGCATATTATTCAAAATTATATACATTATCACTTGATTTTCCATATTATCCTGTTATGAGGTTATGGTACTCTTAACAAAACAAAAATTAGCTGTAGGTAAAACCAATTTCGATATGGCTGCTGTCATTGAAAACTGATCATCTTTTATTAGACACATATAGATGGCAATACCAGAAAATCGCTTAAAATCGAAAGAAATTCATAGAAAGAAAAAGTATTTATCTAAAATGATATATTATATTGAAAATATATAAAAAGAATAAATATGTAATCCTCATCTAACAGTTACAATTAATTTTAGAAAGTAAAAAAAATATATCAAAGTAGAGTTGTTTCAAAATCTTATGAGCTTTGACCTTGATATGCGTAGAAACATAATTCCGGCCGTCGCCTAAATTATTCTACGTCCTAAAAACATGACATCCATTATTCACAGTCTATCTCGAGCTCTCGTAGCGTAAACAAGCCTTTGCTCCGATTACAAATATCATAATAAAATACTCTATTCTTTATTATTTTAATTTAAGCAATAAAAATATATATAACGAACGTTCGCCAGTTGACTTTATTGATGCCCGAGCGCCTTAGTTCATTTCTGGTTGTAATGAGACACGTGGTCTAATTCTGAGTCAATGTTTACACAACGTGCTTATTAGAAGAATTATGTGGATCACCACAAGATCTTTATACAATACCCTTTTACTGATCTTGGATACACCACGCCTTTCGCGGCTCATGAAATTTTGAAACTACTCTACACTTCGCGCCATTATTCCATGGCTAGAAATTGGCCTCAATAATTTGGGATCGAGGGGGATTATCCCTCTTTATCCTGGC